GGGGCTTCTCCATCTTGAAGTGGAACTGAAGGAAGAACTGGGGAGAAAAGAAAAGCAAAGAGAACAATTAATCGTAGAACCACAGAATCCTGGAATTTCCTGAGTTGGGAGGGACCCACAAGGATCATCAGACCAATCTGTGGCCCTGCACAGGAGACCCCAACAATCCACTATGGGCCTGAGAGTGTTGTCCATAGAATCACAGAATCATCAATATTGGGAGAGACCTCTAGGGTCATCAAGCCCAACCATTAACCAGTCACCACAGTAACCCCCAAACCCTAAACCATATCCTCCAGCACCAGATCCAGGTACCTCTTAAACATCCCCAGGGATGGTGATTCCAAATGCTCCTTGAGCTCTGGCAACCTTGGGGCCATGACCACATATTCTGTGACAACTCTGTGCCATCACACAAGCAGCTGCTCTCTGCCCCTAGATGGCTGTTCAGGCCTCTCCTACCTGTTACCCTGAGACGACATCTGCCCCCACACCCAGGCAACATCATGACTGGCCCCAGGCTGGTACAGCATTCCAAGGCCTCTGAAACTTTGCTATAAGCACTGATCTGACTGTGAGGGAGTGAGAACCCCCTCTATGCACTGTCCCCTGCTCTCACAGGTCCCAGGCTCACCAGAGCCAGGTTTGTGCAGGGAGCATGAGGCACAGAGCCATGGAGAGGGCACAGTGCTGCATGTTTATCATGGAATCATCAAGGTGGGAAAAGCCCTCCAAGATCATCAAGTCCAACCATCAACCAGTACCACCACCATGTTCACCCCTAAATCATGTCCCCAAGTGCAACATTCACACATTGTTTAAACACTTTCAGGGATAGTGACTCCACCACTGCGCTGGACAGCTGTGCCAATGCTTGACAACCCTTTCCATGGAAAAATTTCCCCTAATATCCAACCTCAACCTTCCCTGGCACAGCTTGAGGCCATTTCCTCTGGTCCTTTCCCTTGTTCCCCGGGAGCAGAGCCTGACCCCACCTGGCTGCACCTCCTGTCAGGGAGCTGGAGAGAGTGAGAAGGTCCCCCCTGAGTCTCCTTTTCTCCAGGCATTTATGCCCCATCCTGCTGCTGCTGGCAGATATTAAATCCTCACAAGGGTCACACACAGGAAAATCTTTGTTGGGCACTCTCACTGCACAGTTGCATTGGGGCAATGAAGATTTTAGCATCAGAACTAGCACAGACAGAACTGGTGTCAATGTCCCAAGCTGCTCTGTCCTCCCACTCCCTCTTTAACCCCTAGCAAACACATTGCAGAGCCTCAGTTACCTGTTTGGTTTCCCTGTTCCAGTGAGTCCAAAATTTTCCTTCTGCTTTGTCAATTTCTCTGCTTGGCACCTGCACCAAAAGAGAACACAGAGCTATTCTTAGCAACACCAGATTAGTTCAAAGGCCCTTTTTAGCCCCAGAGCCTGCAAGATAAGCACAGTTATTCCAGGTGTTGGTGAGCTGCTCTGGGCTTGGCTGTTATTAGAGAGAGGTGGGGGCAGGAAAGAATTAAGTTACTTCCCTATCAGTCAAGGACAACTGTGCTGACAAAAAACCCTCCCTAAACATCTGCACAGAGGCTGAGGAGCACAGCCCAGGAGGCTCCAGTCCATGTCAGGCACCGGGAATTCACAGCTCCCCAGAGCTCAGCACACAGTCTGGTTTTCATGCCAGAGTCCTCCAGCAATCCTGAGGAGGATTTAATGACTTCCAGCCATGTCCTTCTGACCCCCTTTCCCACTCCATTAACCCCCAAAGGATACACCAGAAATCACAGACTTCACTGGGAATGTCTTGAACAACACAGGAAGGGAACTTTCCCAAGTCAGATAATCCCAGGTGTTACCTTGAAAGCGATAGTCTCATAGGGCTCTGCTGCCATGAGGAGGTACTGCCAGCGCCTGTCGGACAACACAGGAACTTTCCCAAGTCAGATAATCCCAGGTGTTACCTTGAAAGCGATAGTCTCATAGGGCTCTGCTGCCATGAGGAGGTACTGCCAGCGCCTGTCGGGGGGCTCAATCCTCTGCTCGTAGGCTGACATGAACCGGTGTCGGGGCATGATGGTCTCAGCAATCTCAGGGTAATCGATCTGGGGGAATCAGGGCAGCATTAACAACACCCCTTGGCACAGATAATCCCAGGTGTTACCTTGAAAGCGATAGTCTCATAGGGCTCTGCTGCCATGAGGAGGTACTGCCAGCGCCTGTCGGGGGGCTCAATCCTCTGCTCGTAGGCTGACATGAACCGGTGTCGGGGCATGATGGTCTCAGCAATCTCAGGGTAATCGATCTGGGGGAATCAGGGCAGCATTAACAACACCCCTTGGCACTCCCACTCTGCTCCAAACACATCCCTCCGCGTGGAGCAGACTGACCAGTTCACAACAGAAAGGAAACAAATGCCAGAGGAAATGGCTTAGAATCATGGAATGGTTTGGGTTGGGAAGGAACCTTAAAGATCTCAAACTCAAAGAGGGGAAATTTACATGAGACATACGGAAGGAATTCTTCCCTGTGAGAGTGGTGAGACACTGGCACAGGTTGCCTAGAGAAGCTGTGGCTGCCCCAGCCCTGGAAGGCCAGGTTGGA